AAAGCCCGGCCATTTTTTTGTTACAGTAGTCATTGTTGTTTAGCTGGCCGGGGCTGGGTTCAAACCCACTACCCTTGGTGTATGTGGCTGGCACCGTAACCACTGTGCTACGGGCACTGAGCCTAATGTTAAAATTTTCATTTTAAAATAAGAGATGCTCTTTATACACTTTGTGAGAATGACCTTTTAAAGGACTACAGAAATTCAGTTTAGTATAGTAAAGATGAGTACCACAAATTACCAACTAGTAAAAGAGGACGTTAAAGAAGGAGGATTGAAATCGCACTAAATTGGTGGTAGAAAAGCCTGGGCCCTGTGTTTTGACTCATACCTATAATCCTAAAACTCTGGGAGGCCAAGGCAAGAGGACTATTTGAGGGCAGGAGTTCAAGACCAGTCTGAACAAAAGCAAGACCCGTCTCTACAAAAAACAGAAAAATTAGGATGGTATGGTAGCTCGTGCCTGTAATCCTAGCACTCTGGGAAGCCAAGGCAGGTAGACTGCCTGAGCTCAGGAGTTTGAGACCAGCCCGAGCAAAAGCCAGACCCTGTCTCTAAAAATAGCCAGGTGTTGTGACAGGTGCCTATAGTCCCACCAACTGAGGAGGCTGAGACAAGAGAATCACTTGAGCCCAAGAGTTTGAAGTTGCTGTGAGCTATGATGCCAATGCACTCTACTGAGGGTGACAAAGTGAAACTCTATCTCAAAAAGAAAAAAAAAAAAAAAGGAAAAAAGAAAAATTAGTGAGCAGGTGACACATGCCTTGATATAGTCACAGCTACTTGGAAGGCTAAGATAGGAGGATCACTTTAGCCTAGGAGTCTGAAGTTGTGCCACTGTACTCTAGCCCAGGTGACACAGCAAGACCTTGTCTCAAAAAGAAAAAAAAAGGCTCAGCACCTATAGCTCAAGCTGCTAGGGCTCCAGCCACAGATACCGGAGCTGGCAGGTTCAAATCCAACCCAAGCTCGCCAAACAACAATGACAACTACAACCAAAAAATAGCCAGGCTTTATGGCAGGTGCCTGTAGTCCCAGCTACTCAGGCAAGAGAATCACTTAAGCTCAAGAGTTTGAGGTTGCAGTGAGCTGTGACTTGTGACGCCATGGCACTCTACTGAGGGCGACACAGTGAGACTCCATCTCAAAAAAACAAAAACCAACAAAAAACTTATATGCATCAGAGGACACTATGAACAGAATGAAAGGCAGTCCATCAAATGGAAGAAGATGTTTGTAAATCACATCTGATAAGGGTTTAATATCCAGAATATATAACAAACGCCTACAATTCAACAGAAAGAAAACAATCCAGTTAAATAAATGCGTCAAAGGGTTGAACAGACATTTCTTTAAAGAAGATCTATAAACGGCAATGGTACATGAAAAGATGCTCAACTCATGCATGGCTGCTGGAAATGTAAAATAGTCTGCTACTATGAAAAACAGGTTGGCAGTGCCTCGAAAAGTTAAAATGTAGAATTATCATATAACCAACCACCTCCACTCCTAGGTTATCTGCCCCAAAGAATTGAAAACAGGGGTTTAAGCACATATGGGAATGTTCATAGCAGCATCATTCATTATTGGGAAGGCTCACTGCTTAGCCACTGGCTTCCTACTATCCTAACCACGGAGTCCTGCTCACCTGCTGTCATGGGCACAACATCTGAACGCAGGAGCATCTGAATGCGGCCAGCTGGCTTGTTACCGATCTTGATGTCCATGTATACCTGAGGATTTGACCGGGCCTTTTTTGCAACAGGCTCTCCCTAGGTGCAGAAGAAATTGCTAGGTTAGAGAGAACTCTCGGATGTCCCACGTAGGAGTGTAAGGCCTCACAGGGTTGCAAGAAGCCAAGAGCCACAGCCATAGCACCCAGCTCGGCATCAGTGACCAAACACCCTAGTACTATTTGACTTGAGTCCTCCTCGGCATGTTATCTCAGCAAGCTCACCCTGCAGTCCCACAAAGGCACTTTCCTCCACAACTCTCAACATCTTCAAACCCCAGTTTAAGCCCACCATTCCCCAGGTAAGTGGACCCATCCATGTAGCAACACCTGCTGCCTTGATGCTCACCCCTGTATATTCCCAGCCTGCTACATGGAAGAAACCATGAGAAGTCATGGGGGCAGCCTTCCTGCTCAGGCCTAAGTGCTCAGAAGACAATGGAGGAGGTGGGGTCTTGCTTAGTGCTCCAAGTAGATAAGACTCAGCAGAGGATAAAGAGACATTTGATATAAATGCTATGTTTATTCCAACAAGAAAAGACACATGTTATTAACTTGTTTATGGTTCACTTTAACAAATGTGCTGAGGTATCATGCTGGGCACTGAGGACACGAATACAAGTACTACATATACTATTTGCTGCTGATAGTAACGGTGGCACAGTAGTAGCAACAAATACTCACACAGCACTTATCATGTAACCTGCCCAAGGTCACAAAGGCAGTAAATGGTGAGCTGGAATTCACACCTAAATCACCATTCCCCATGTCCTTGTTACTCCACTTCACATTTTTATTAATAAGATGCAAAATACAAGGCCCCCAGCCTCACTGAATTCACGGCCTACAAAGGAAGGGCAATAAGCACTTAAGAAGCCTGTGCACAAGTCAAGATATACACAGAAATACACAGGATGATTCTGCAAGGCTGAAGCATGGAGAGGTGGAAAGCAGGACTGGAGAGGCAGGCAGGGTCAAGCACTGGCAGAGTCCCTCCTGGACTTCCTCCCCTGAGACAGGTCATGGGGACCCAGAGAGAAGTTCTCAGCTGGAGAGTTAATGCCTTAGAAAGACCATGCTAGCTATCTTTATTAAAGACTGGAGGATAGCAAGGCTGCTGCCAGAAAGCAATTATCCAATGAGAGACAACAGGCTAAATGGGACAATGGCACAAATAGGAGAAGGGATTCAAGGCCAATTTAAGAAAAAACTCAGTAGAGTATGATGATGTATTAGCTCTGTGTTAAAAGAAGGATCCAGTAGCTGGGTGTTGTGGCAGGTGCCTATACTCCTGGCTACTTGGGAGGCAGAGGCAAGAGAATTGCTTAAGCCCAAGAGTTTGAGGTTGCTGTGAGCTGCGATGGCATAGCACTCTACCAAGGGTGACACAGTGAGACACTGTCACCAAACAAAAAAGAAAGAAGGGTCCAGGAGGATGACCTAGAGGGACTCTTCTGGGACAGTCACTTTATGCATTCTGCTTTGCATCCATATTTCTGATATAGGTCCATGTGTGGATGGATGGCAGCAAATTAACCAAGACAGAGAACACAGGAGACAGGTCAGAGAGGAGAGGGAATCCATTTTAGACAATGTTAAGCTGCCTGTGATCTTATAGACAGAAGTCTCAGCAGCTCAGGACTGGAAACAGAGACCATGACAGTCAACATCAGCACAGGAGAGGTTGCAGAAAATCCGAAAGTAACTGCTACTGCTTCAGCTGAGAGCGGAGAGAAGCCAGGAGCCAAGAGATAGATGCAGAAAAACGACAGCATTGACAAGGTAGCCAGCAGCGGGGAAGACTGAGGAGCAGTGCTCAGGGAGGTGTGCTGAGTCAGGAGGAAGTGCCGGGCCGGGTTCTCTTGGGAAGGGAGAACCCTGAGCCTTCCTGAGGTGTACAGGCTGAAGGGAAGACACCACCACCCTGGCCTGTCTTCTCCTGTATTAGTACAGGAATAGGATGACCATGAGCCTGGTGCCAAACTCTTCAGTGGAAGAAGGGGACTGATCAAAAGGGATGAAGAGGAGCACTTTACTTCCTCCTCGTTACAAATCTGTACCTGGGCAGAGCTGAGATGCTCCACATGCAGAACATGAAACAGATGAGAGACCCAAGCTCTTCCCTTTAATCCAGTCAATGCTGTCTTCACCAAAATACTAACAGTCTATTATTTGTTCTCTCTACTCTTATGTGTGTGCAAATATATACAGGGTGATCAAAAGTTCATTACTATTGGCAAACTTTTTTTTTTTGCAGTTTTTGGCTAGGGCTGGACCTGAACCCACCACCTCCAACATATGGGGCCGGTGCCCCACTTCTATGAGCCACAGGCGCGGCCCAAACTATTTTAAATGGCACATGAACTTTATGGCCACCCTGTATACATGTTTGCAAATTTCCATGAAAAGTTTATTAAAAGGAAGTCTCCTGTGGGAAAGGCCAGCCTGTTTTCTGGAAGCACAAGCCTTCATTCTCACCTCCTGGGTTTCTGTCTTGGGAGGTTCTAACCCTTCCTCCTCTTTATTCTCTTCGAGAGTCTTCCCAGAAAACTTCTTCAACCAGTCATCATCTGACCAAACTGAAAGGAAAAATCAAATAAATATTAATAAATTTAAGCTATCAGCTTGAATTGAAAAGTAGCTGCTTTAGCTGGGAGCAGTGGCTCATGCCTATAGTCCTAAGACTCTGAGAGGCCAAGGTGGGAAGACTGCTTCAGGTCAAGAGTTTGAGACCAGCCTGAGCAAGAGACTTTGTCTCTTAGAAAAATTAGCCGGGTGTGATGGCACAAGCCTGTAGTCCCAGCTACTTGAGAGGCTGAAGTAAGAGATCGCTTTTAAGCCCAGGAGTTTGAGGTTGCTGTGAGCTACAATGATACCACTGCAATCTACCCAGGGTAGAAGGAGTGAGACTGTGTCTCAAAAAAAAAAAAAAAAAAAAAGAAAGAATGAATGAAAAAAGAAAAAGAAACAAAAGTAGCTGCTTTTGTCAGCAAAGTGGAAGATACTATGTGGTCCTCTTGGCTAGGAGACTCCCCTTAGAGAATTCCCCACAATAAGGAAAGTTCCCACTCTGAAAATCAGCCCTAAAGTCCCCTCTTAGCGGGGCTAAGGGAAAATGCTACACTAGTTCTAGCACTTGATGGGCCCCCATGGATGGCGTGCTGATAAAACTGGTAAAGATAAGGGAACAAAGAGAGTTTCTCTCAGTAACAGTCACTCTGGCTTTGCTGAGAAACTCAAACTCTTTTTGTTTGCCCACAAAAGTGGTATATGCTCTGTCACTGTGGATCATTCTCCATTCCTGCCCACCAGGAAGCAGGATTTAGCACTGACATCTAAGTAAACAGGGATAAAAATGCCTCTAAGGTCAAACTGCAGGGCAGGACAGGGGATCTGTGAGTGGCTCCTACTCACCTGGTCTGGAAGAGCCCTCCTTAATTCTCATTGGTTTGGCTAAATTGACACGAATTGTCCGTCCAAAGAGCTCAGATTCATTCTGAAAAAAAAAATGAAAATCCAGCTGCTTGCATTGTTATTTTTTTTTTTAAAAAAGATACTCAGCTTTCTATTTACTTCTAAGACATCTGTCCTCCCTTAATCCCTGAACCCCTAACAGCAAGCTCTGTACACACCACAAAGCCGCCTGTGGCTTACAGGGAACTTCCTCCCTTGAGCCCTCACACAATTCCTTTCTTTCAATGCCAGCAGACAAAGGCCTGTACTACCTAACGTAGCTCTGGGTTCAGAGTGCTCTGAAAGTACAAGGATCATGCAGTAAGGATCAGCTTTGAAATGGTGAAAAATGATCTCTTTCTGACAGCTGAGGAAAATTTGGTGAAAGGGTAATAGAGAACAGGGAATGGAGGACAGCCTCATTATCCAGAGGGAACTGGTACCAGGAAAGGTCGCTTCATGTGTATCCACTTAAGGCGGTGACGAAAATTTTCATGGTAAAAAGCAAAAATTAAGGTTTGATTGGGACTTTATTGTGAGGAAACTAAAAATAATGAGAAGAAGTTTATTACAAATAATATTCACATTTAACTATGCATTGATTTACAGAATGAAGATCTAACAGGTGCTGATTAGTTGAGGTATTTTTTCCAACAAAATTCTATCAACACTATGATATATCTTTTCACTTCATCAGACATGAAAATTCTAAGACTCTCAGAGAGGGTGCAAATACTGAAGAGCCTCACCATTTTTCCCAAGGACATTTCCAGGATATGCAAATCATTTGTATCAGTGATTTGTAGTTACCATTATCCTTATTAAATTTCTCTCCTCTCGTGTTGACTGGCCTAACCCTTCATGAAATCCTGCCACTTTTGAAAAATATGCATTTTCGCTGTGTAATCAATTTACGGTGAGTTTGCATTTTACTATCCTAGAAATAGGGCAGCCAGTGAGAGACTGGCCAAAAAGAATGATTAAGACTTATATTACTGTTAAATGGGAAAGGATTTATAAACGATCAATTCATTGTGAATATTTTAATATGTTGACAATTTTTACTTCTCCATGCAACCTTGTAACTTTGAAGGTTTGGAAAAACAACATAAGAGTAAGGAGCCTCTGTACCACCCAAAAGCAACTTCAGATAACGTGAGGATTTCCCACCATACCATGTTGTCAATAGCTGCTGCAGCATCCTGCCAAAGAAAGACAAGGTACAAGTTTAAGCTTACAGCTAAAGGTTTCTTGTAGTGTCTAAACACGTACTCAGTAGCAAACAAACAAAAAACCCCAAACCCAGCAAATATCACTTCTAGATGTCCTGCCTGACTTTAGAGCTGGTAGTGCAATAATTTGCCATCTAGTTGAAGGCACAGAAATAATTATCAGTGCTCCCAAGCAAGAATGCTCAATAAACAGGGCCTGGCACAAAGTCTGAGACATTATTCACTTTCTACGGTCTGATTAAATGAGAGCAGCTTTCTGCCAAACACCATCGCTGGTCTGGAAGCATTAGACTAAGGCTCAGAAACCTAACCAAATGGAGAACAGCTTCCTTTGTAATCAGGAAGAACAACACAAACGAAAGACTAAAACACAAGTAGCACAGACTTTTCTTACCTCTGCCAACTCAAATTCGACAAAAGCAAATCCTCGGTGCTTTTCTGCAAAAAGGAGAGAGGGAAGTAATCATCATGGGGGCAATGAGAAGACACAGGACAGTAACAAAGAGTGAAATCAGTCACATGCCATATCCAGACACCAGAAATTCTACCCAATCACTTTTTGGGAAGAAGAACCGCATTCTTTGATTCTTTTTTTTTTAAGAGACAGACTTTCACTTTATCGCCTGCCCTCAGTAGAGTGCCGTGGTGTCACACAGCTCACAGAAATCTCCAACTCCTGGGCTTAGGCGATTCTGTTGCCTCAGCCTCCTGAGTAGCTGGCACTACAGG